GTATTGAGCCTTCTGCCCTCCTCCCCAGGCACCAGCTAAGAACCCCAAGCTGTAGCAGCCATTATACCAGATCCTTCCCCCAGTGTGTCCTGAGCTATGAGTCCAGACTTCTGGTCATGTTCTCTGACAGCAACAAAACAATCCTGTACCTCCCATATGTGCACGTTAGTGTGTGTGAGATTATGTGAGAGGATGGGTAGTGCTTAAGAACAGCCGCTTTGGACCTAGCACGGTGGCACACGCCTGTAATCCCAGCACTCTGGGAGGTCAAGGTGGGCGGATCACGATGTCAGGAGTTCACGACCAACCTGACCAACATGGTAAAACCCCGTCTCTACTGAAAATACAAAAAATTAGCTGGGTGTGGTGATGCATGCTTATAATCCCAGCCACTCAGGAGGCTGAGGCAGGAGAATTGGTTGAATCCAGGAGGCGGAGGTTGTGGTGAGCCAAGATTTTGCCATTGTACCACTCCAGCCTGCACAACAAGAGCAAAACTCCGTCTAAAAAAAAAAAAAAAAACAGCTCCAGACCAGACTGCCTAGGTTAGAATCCTGACTCCATTATTGACCACGTGACTTGGGCGAGCTGTTTACTCTCTGTGCCTCAGTTTCCTCATCTGTCAAGTAGAGATAATATTACCTATCCTCTAGCATTGTTATAAAGAGTAAATGATGCCTGCAATGCCAACACTGGGAGGCCCAGGCGGGTGATCAAGGACAGGAATTTGAGACCAGCCTGGCCAACATGGGGAAACCCTGTCTCTACTAAAAATACAAAAATTAGCTGAGTAGGGTGCCCTCCGCCTATAACCCCAGCTACGCGGGAGACCGAGGCAGGAGAATTGCTTGAATCTGGGAGGCGGAGGTTGCGGTGAGCCTAGATCTCACCACTACACTCAAGCGTGGGTGATAGAGACTGTCTCAAAAAAAAAAAAGGAAATGAGTTATTAACATGAAGTACCACAGGCTTGGCACATGTAGACATCAGCATGGGATACAGATGTTTCATTCTAATAATAAAGTTTATCATTTTAAAAGAATGGGATGACAATAGACAGTCTCCTATTTTATTCCCACATTCCATTGATTTGTCCTGAGCACCCCATTTTAGATACCACAGTCCTGGGGAAACCAAGCAAATTATTCCGCCACCTTCTGCATACCCCCTCGTGTTGTTGCACACCTGACCCCCAGGGTTAACAGAGTTCGAGATGACCACGTCCCTGTGCTTCTGTACCAGGATATTGTGTTGCTAGTTAGCACCCTTCATTTCAACCCGTGCATTCTTTGGTGTGTTTGTTTTTTCTTTTTTTTTTTTTTTTTTTTTTTGCGATGGAGTCTTGCTCTGTTGCTCAGGCTGGAGTGCAGTGGTGTGATCTCAGCTCACCGCAACTTGCGCCTCCCGGATTCAAGTGATTCTCCTACCTCAGCCTCCCAGGTAGCTGGGACTACAGATGTGCGCCACCACATCCAGCTAATTTTTTGTATTTTTAGTAGAGACAGAGTTTGACCATGTTGGCCAGGCTGGTCTCCAACTCCTGACCTTGTGATCTGCCTGCTTTGGCCACCCAAAGTGCTAGGTTTACAGGCGTGAGCCATTGCCTTCTGTTCATTGCTTTTAAGTTATAAGAGAGGCGATAAAGAAGGAAACAGAAAAAAAAAAAAGAAAAAGTATATAAAGAAATACTTGGATTCTAGCCCTCTTCTTTTCAAAATAAGAAAGAGGCTGGGATTCTTACGGTGGAATAGGATCAGAGCTAGATGAAGGCCGTGGGAGATTTCATTCTGGGAAGAGGGGAGGAGTGAGGAGGGCAGGAGAGCTGTGCAGAAGTCACAAGCCTGAGCCCTTCCCCCACCCTGGGAAGCTCTCGTGGCCAGGCCTCTTTTCCGGCAGAGCCTTCTAGGAGGGCAGTCCCTTGGGAACTGCCTGGAGGACTCCTTGTCCCATGGTGCCAGGGGCTCCCAGCTATCCTGGGAGTTGCCTGGAGTGTTCTTTCTGGAACCAGGACAATCAAGGTGGCAAGATTGGGGTGAGGAGAGTGTACCTCTGAAGCTGTAGGAATGAAGGTGGGATCTAGGTTACAGCTGTATCCAGGCCTGGCCCCAAATTCCGTTACTTCCTTTTTAATAAATCATCTGTGGCTTTGAAGGGAACATACCCTTGTGGTGTTTGCAGTAAGAATATAATTTGGAAAACATGCCTCCTTGAAATTTACCATGACTATAAGTTGCTGGGCATTTATCTCTGAGGCATTCTGCCTTTCACATGTTATAGCTCATTCAGTCCCTTCAACTGCCCAGTGAAGGAAGGTACTGCTACTACTGGTTTTCTTTTTTTTTTTTTTTTTGCGGGGGGGGGGGGGGGGCTGTTTTTTTTTTTTTTTTTTTTTTTGCGATTGAGTCTTGCTCTTGTTGCCTAGGCTGGCGTTCAGTGGCGCACAGTCTTGGCTCACTGCAACTTGCGACTTCCGAATTCAAGTGATTCTCCTGCCTCAGCCTCCTGAGTAGTTGAGATTACAGGCATGTACCACCACGCATGGCTGAGTTTTGTATTTTGAGTAGAGGCAGGGTTTCACCATGTTGGTCAGGTTGGTCTCGAACTCCTGACCTCGTGATCCGCCAGTCTCGGCCTCCCAAAGTGCTGGGATTACAGGCGTGAGCCATCGCGCCTGGCCTATTAACACCATTTTACAGATGACATTAAACATGACCAGGAGGCAAACCCAGGCCCTGACCACAGAGTCTGTGTTCTTCCACCACCAGACTACATGGCCTTCTTCCAGGCTTGCCCTTGAGAATAAAATATTTATGAAAGAACTTCGTGACCTCCAAGCTGTGTAAATAAAGCGTGATGGTGGTGTCACGTGGTCCCAGCCAGCACTCACTCTGTGCAGATGACTTTACATGCAGCCTCTTATTTCAATCTCACCACCACCTGCAAGGTGGATAATTTTACAAGTAATGAGGAAACTGGGAGTCAGCGGTGGGCAGTTTGCAGAGTGCAGAGCTCTTAGATGGGAGAATGGAATTTGGGCCCAGGTCTGCTTGTCTCTGGAGTTCTGGCTTCACCTCACCTGATGCTACACCTCCCTGAAGTTAAGGGGCCTGGAAGGTATACTAGAAATAAGGGGGCTGAGGTGAAAGGACTTTTATTAAATCTTAACAGTAGCTGGTAATAGAACTAGAAGTAGAGGTCAGTCCCTTGGATTGACTTGGTCAACCATAAGATACAATTTTTTTTAATCCACACTTACATGACTACTCCACGGTCTACTTAAATCATAGCTTCTAGTGGAAGAGCTTGTCCATATTTATCCATTCACCAAGCATTTGTGGAGAGCTTCCTGCCCACCAGGCGCTGTGGGAGGTGCTTCGTGTGCAGAGGAAACCCGGCTGCAGCCTGGCCATGGCGGTCCCTGACCTGGTGGGTGCTCAGTGTCTGAGAGAGTGTAAGGCTAGAGCAGAGTGGCCCCTGAATGCTTGAGGTACAAAGATCAGGGGCTGAACCAGTTTTTCAGGGTAGGGCAGGGAATGTTGAAGGCTTTGAGCATGCATCAGACATGCCTTGTAAAACTTATTTACACTTTGGCTACAGAACCAAAAGTGGACAGGAAGGCTAGGGGCTGAGAGGAGGCTGTTCGGTCAAGTAAGAGGTGATGGAGGCCTGGAATGCAGTGTTTCCTGAGAGTTAGGGTCAGTGCCCCATTTCTCTCTCTAGCTCCCAGCCATGGGGTGCAGTTCTGACAGCATCAGCATCTCCCAGCGTAGATATTGCTAAGTAGGAACTTTACATTGGAGCCATTGCTTTTTTTTGAGACAGAGTCTCGCTCTGTCACCTAGTCTGGAGTGTGGCATGATCTCAGCTCACTGCAACCTCTGCCTCCTGGGTTCAAGTGATTCTCCTGCCTCAGCCTCCTAAGTAGCTGGGATTACAGGCACCTGGCACCACGCCTGGCTAATTTTTTGTATTTTTAGTAGAGACAGGGTTTCACCATGTTGGCCAAAGCTGGTCTCAAACTCCTGACCTCGTGATCCATCCGCCTCAGTCTCCCAAAGTGCTGAGATTACAGGCGTGAGCCGCCATGCCCAGCCTGGAGCCATTACTTTTAAGTATCTGGGATTAATGACAAATCCCACAGAATGCCAGGACAGATCCTGGCTCTACTCACTCTGCTTGAGGACTTTAAGGAAAGCAGTTTATTGGAGCATCTTATTTTAGTCTATATGTCAAAAAAAGATTGTTTTCCCTCAACAGCTATATCACTTCCCCTTGACAGAATGTCGACGTGCACGCCAAGCTGCACTCATGCCATGTGTGTGCATTCAAATCTGCTCCACGCCGAGTTGGGCTGGATGGGAGCGGAGGCAGATTGGCGAGGGAGATCACATTTAGAACTGCGCTTGCATGCAGATTTCCTTTCCCTCCTCCCTTTTTGACGGACAGAGATGCCCCATAATCCACCCACATGGGCTGGTTCAATGTATATGGCTGGGTGAACCTCTCAGACAGAAGTGGTAGGGCCTGGCACATGTTCCCTGCCGAAAGGGAGGGTCCCATGAGAGGCCTTGTGGACCAAATGCCACCAAGTGAACTGTGAACCAGGCATGTAACATCTTTAATCTCCCAGGGTAGATGACTGGCCGCTGCAGAAACTGGACAGAAGTTAGGAGTGGTTGTTTCCATTTAGAAAAAATGGCATATCTTCTCACCTCTGAAGCCTCAGGACAATGGACTGGGTCTCAGGATCTCACTCTGGGAATGATAAGACTTCTATATTTGCATAGGTAGATTAACTCTCAGTCCTTTTGAAAATCAACAGAAATAACAGCTTTGCAAAGCTTCACATCTTCTCTGAGAACTTGTATCTGGTGATATGAGAGTTGTTCCTGATACAAAACCCAAGCAAAGTAGATTGTTTTTTACCCTGCAGTGCCCTTATCGGCACATTCTGTCACCACTAAGTATTGGGCTTTTTTTTTTTCTGCAAATATGTTTAGGGTGAAGAAGCTGAAGGAGACCTTTGCTTTTATTCAGCAGTTGGACAAAAACATGAGCAACCTTCGTACCTGGTTGGCTCGAATTGAGTCTGAGCTTTCCAAGCCTGTTGTTTATGATGTCTGCAATGATCAAGAGATCCAGAAGAGGCTCGCTGAGCAGCAGGTGGGACAATCAGAAATGAGCTCTTGAAAGAGGACAGGTGTCCGCGATGTGCACTGACTCAGGCCCTCCCCATATATCTCTGTGTGTTCACATGCTCGAATTTCATAACATTGGTTTGCTCTTTCCAGAGAAAACTGACCACCTTTCCATGTTCTTACCTCCATCTCTTGAGTGCTCCCTCCCACATGCACGTCACTTTTTGTGAAACTGAGTGAATCATGTTTAAGATGCAAACCTTAACCGTGGTGGTAAATAAGTTTTTTGTTTTTTGTTTTTTTTTTCCGTGAAGTTTAAACTGAAATAAAAAAGGTTTTTAAAATTATGTCTTTTTTTAACTCTGATCATTGTTGTGTTCTGTTAATATAGCTTTGGAAGGCAATGAATTGAAAGAAAATCAACCTTTCTAACCAAGGAATATTTGCATGGGATCATATTGTGTGTGACTGGTAACTGGTATAGTTTTTTTGTTTGTTTGTTTGGTTTTTTTTTTTTTTTTTTGAGACGGAGTTTCGTTCTTGTTACCCAGGCTGGAGTGCAATGGCATGATCTCAGCTCACCGCAACCTCCGTCTCCTGGGTTCAAGCAATTCTCCTGCCTCAGCCTCCCCAGTAGCTGGGACTACAGGCGTGCACCACCATGCCCAGCTAATTTTTGTATTTTCAGTAGAGACGGGGTTTCACCATGTTGACCAGGATGGTCTCGATCTCTTGACCTCGTGATCCACCCGCCTCAGCCTCCCAAAGTGCTGGGATTACAAGCGTGAGCCACCGCGCCCGGCCTTGGTATAGTTTTTTAAAAAATTAAAACAAGAAAAGATGTGATAGGCCAGTTGTGGTGGCTCACGCTTGTAATCCTAGCACCTTGGGAGGCTGAGGTGGGTGGATTGCCTGAGCGCAGGAGTTCAAGACCAGCCTGGGCAACATGGTGAAACCTCATCTCTTAAAAAAAGAAAACAACAAATTTTTAAAAAGAGGAAAAAAAAAGTGTGATAAAAAACATGCTTAGACCAGTAGTTTAGGAAGCCTCTTAAGAGCTGCAGTGCTCTGTGCATTTTTGTTATCAGATATGTGTGCTCTGAGCCAGTGCTGGGGAATGAACCTTGTATCGCCTTCTGGAGATGGTGGCAGCTACCATTTATAATAGAATCCTCTTATTAACTGAACTTTCTTGAGCTCTGGGAATTGGATTTAGTCTAGTTAACAGTGGCTTATTTAAAGTAGTGTAGGTTTCAGATATTGGTATATTATCAAACAATTAGAATAGAATTTAACTTAGTCTTTGCTTTCTCACAATGTAATTTGGATATTAAAATTAATGGTGTAGTTTTATGACACTTATCACAGCATTTGGACATCAGGGATGTCTAACTCATCCAGAGTGGCAAAACAGGTTCATCACCTCTCTCCCTCCCTGCAGCCCACCCATGGGGCACAGAAGTAATATTATCTCTTGATGACTAAAAAGGCCGTGTTTATCCCTAAAGAGGTTTTTCAGTTTTTTCCTGTGACCAGTTTTTTCCCTTCATAAATGTTATTTTTCCCAAATTGGGAATTGCATCACTATTACCATCAAAGGACAAGACTCCAGAGATCCCATGTCTCCCCAAGTCACCATAGCCATGGCTGGACTTTATCAGCTGGGGAGGCGAGCTCTGTACCCCAAATTCCTCCCTTGGGCTGATGAAGCCCTTGAATGTGCTCATGGGGAGGTTGTGGATGCCCACACTGCTGCATGCGCCATTTGGTGTGTGTGTGAAGACAACAAGGTCTTAGTAGATTGAAGAGTTTGGTAGCCCATAAAAGGTTGAGAGTTCCTACTGAAGAGACTCGGTTTCTTTCTTTTTCTTTTTTTTTTTTCTTTCTTTTAAGCGGCAAATCCATCATAGGGATTCTAAAGAAGACCTCCCTGAAACCATGTCTAAACTGGAGGCCTCTGGGGTTGGGTGGTATGGAGTGGATCCCATGTCACCATGGGAGTCTGTGGGGTGATGGGCTCTCAACCGGAGGACACCTACCACTGTGCCAACCCTCACATGGTTCAGTACATAAATCCCAGATGTTCCAGTGTTTAAACTTTGTATCAGGTGCTGATAGCACAAAGGTGAGAGGGACTCAATGTGTACTGCCAATCCCACGGTGGAAATGCACCCAGAGAAGTATCCTCTGGGCTGGGAGAAGGAAGGGAGGAACAGAGGTCCTTTGATGCTGACCCTCCTGCCGCTACCAGCATCTCAAGAAGCTTCTTACTCTGTTGTAATCACAGGATCTGCAGCGAGATATTGAACAACACAGTGCCGGGGTGGAATCCGTGTTTAACATCTGTGACGTCCTCCTGCATGACTCCGACGCCTGTGCAAATGAGACTGAGTGCGACTCGATCCAGCAGACCACCAGGAGCCTGGACAGACGCTGGAGGAACATCTGTGCCATGTCCATGGAGCGGCGCATGAAGTAAGAGCTCAGCTCCCCCAGATGTCTTCTGCGTGGTCAGCCGAATGCAGTATACCCTTCTGACCACACTCACAGTAACTATTTCACTTAGAAATGCACCAGGTGGGCCGGCACAGTGGCTCACACCTGTAATCCCAGCACTTTGGGAGGCCGAAGTGGGCAGATCACCTGAGGTCAGGAGTTCGAGACCAGCCTGACCAACATGGAGAAACCCCATCTCTACTAAAAATACAAAATTAGCCGGGCGTGGTGGCACATGCCTGTAGTCCCAGCTACTCAGGAGGCTGAGGCAGGAGAATTACTTGAACCCAGAGGGTAGAGGTTGCAGTGAGCCAAGGTCGTGCCATTGCACTCCAGCCTGGGCAGCAACAGTGAAATTCCATCTCAAAAAAAACAAAAAATAGAAATAGACCAGGTATTGGCATTGAAGGCCCAATGCTTATCAAAGGATTTATTCATGAGAAACATAACGGGAGTCATGTCTCTCCCCAGCTCTCCTATGCAGGGTGTGGCTATGGGCTGGCTGCTGTGCTTCTGTTGACCTCGCCCAGCTATCGTGGAGGCAGCCCTGTCTCCTACTGTTTTTAGCCTCTGTGAAGCAGGAGCTCTGGGGTGCTTGGCACTCCCAGGTGGGAGGAGCACAGATAAGAAGTGGCGTCCCTGTGATTCCTCAGAAGGGGTAACACTGTTTAGTGGGTCTCCCCTACTAAACAGTGTGAGTGACAGGGGATTAAAGAAGTAGGAAAGCACAGGCTTGGAGGGGATGGCTTGTGTTAAGTCACTTCCCTCCCATCAGAATCGAGGAGACGTGGCGTCTGTGGCAGAAGTTTTTAGATGACTATTCCCGCTTTGAGGACTGGCTCAAGTCTGCCGAGAGGACGGCAGCTTGCCCAAATTCCTCAGAGGTGTTGTACACGAGTGCCAAGGAGGAACTGAAGAGGTTCGAGGTAAGCGCCTTCTCCTTCCCAGCCTCCCGATCATAACTCAGCCTGCAGCGAGCAGGGCAGCTGCCGAAATGACCTCCTGAAGTAGCCAGCGGCCCCTCACCTCTGGGGAGGGCTACCCAATCCACAGCCTTTCCCCAGCTGCTGAGACGGCTTTGCAAGACATGGCTGATGTATGCCAGCAGCTATGCAGCGAACTTGAAAGCCTGTTCTGTAGCTGGCATCAGGACTGGTGAATTGGACCCTCTGCTGCCAATGCAGTTTGGGGGGTGAACCCCTGGCAGCAGGTTGCTTGGGGTGTAGCAGGGAAGGAGAGCATCCTGGCACTCTGCACGCTTTGGCTCTGACCCCTCCCGTGTGGTGCAGGCCTTCCAGCGGCAGATCCACGAGCGGCTCACTCAGCTGGAGCTCATCAACAAGCAGTACCGGCGGCTGGCCCGGGAGAACCGCACGGACACGGCCAGCAGGCTGAAGCAGATGGTCCACGAGGGCAACCAGCGCTGGGACAACCTCCAGAGGCGGGTCACGGCCGTCCTGCGGAGACTCAGGGTAAGTTCCTCTGCACCTGGCTCGGCTGTAGGTTTTCAGGGAGACGTGACACGCCGTATGCAATGTCAGGCTTGTCACCCAAGGCAGTGGGTAGAAGGTTTCGCTACAGGCCTGAGCTGTCTTAACGTTCCTCCAACACAAAGAAGCCCAAAGCTGCCAACGTTCATTGGTTAAAAGAGGGATTTGCATGTGGGGCTTCCTACGCAGGGCCTGTTTATGGGACTTGTGTCACCAACACACATCTCTTTTTACAACTTCCATAACCCGTGGTGGTGTACCTGTTAGCACAGCATCCAGGGCGCCGCCTCACTGGGTCTGCAACAGGCGACACGTGGGCCCCTGGAAGGAGCCCCGCTCTGCTCATCTGTCTGTTTTTATGGGCCCCGCCAGTTCTCGCGCTGAGGAGGATGGACAAGGCGCATTCATGCATGAGCCCCTGTCTGCACCAGGGGGTTGGGGACTGTGATTATTCTCTGCATTTCAGAGCACACTGAGTAATCCCAAAGGTTTGGTTTTCGAAGGTAAATATTCACCCTAGATTTCTGTCATTCAGAATACGTGCTGTGTAAAGCTATGTGACTCCAGGTATAAACTGAAAGGACTATCACAGGCAGGGACTGCAGGACACAGTTTTAATTTCTGGGTCTGTTCTCAGGGCAGGGCATTGTTGAACATATTCTAGAAAGATACGAATGGCCGGCCGGCCTGCCTGCCTGCCTTCCATCCCTCCTTCCCTCCTTCCTCCCTCCTTTCTTCCTTCCTTCCCTCCCTCCTTTCTTCCTGCCCTCCCTCCCTCCTTCCCTCCTTCCTTCCTGCCTTTCCTTTCTCTTTTCTCCATCTCAGAAAGACACTGGCTTTTCTAGTCGTCCAGACAACTCCCTTGCATTTCTTTCTTTCTTTCTCCCTTCCTGTCACTCTTTCTTTCTCGCTCCTCTTTCTCTCTTCTTTCTTGACAGGATCTCACTCTGCTGCCCAGGCTGGAGTGCAGTGGTGACATCATAGCTCACTGCAGCCACAAACTCCTAGGCTCAATGGATCCTCCTGCCTCAGCCTCCTGAGTAACTAGGATTACAAGTGTACATCACCGTGCCTGGCTGATTTTATTTTTTGTGGACATGAGGTCTCACTATATTGCCCAGGCTGGTCTCAAACTCCTGGCCTCACGTGATCCTCCACCTTGGCCTCCCAAAGTGCTGGGATTACAGATGTGAGCCACCGTGCCTGGCCTCTTGCATTAATTATCTCCTGCTGATCTGCCTGTGGCTAATTGCCTTCATTTGGTACTAAATGCTACACTGATGTGAGTATCAGCTGCCTATCTGTGAAGTGGTAACCTGAGAGGCATCCTTAAATGGAGGTGATAAATCTGCTCTGGGTCTTCTTTCTCTGGGGAGACACATTCAGAATTCAGTGAAGGCAGAAGGGGGCACCAGGCTGACCTCAATCCTGAGGAGGGCTTTTCCATCTTGAAGCTACTAAATCTTTCTGTCAAGCAAAAGCTACAAAAGGCTGATGCATAAAAACAGGCAGAAGGCCTGGCCTGGCCCGGCCCGTCAAGGGGCTTCATAGGACAGAGGAAAATCACTGATTTGGACTACAGAATTACAGAATTTCAAATGCTCAAGGACCTCAGAGACCATAATGAACATTTGCACTCTCTCCCCAACTTGCCAGTGTAGAAGCTGGGGATCAAAGAAGTGGGGGTGGGGGGTCATTTGGTATCACAGAGCCAGGACCAGACCCCAGGCTTCTGAACACAGTGCTTCTGGGGCTTACTGGGTACCCCAGTGGGAGATTGCTCCCTGAGTATTCTGGGCACCCTTTCCTTGTGGCCAAAGGTGACCTTGCCATCTGTCTGCACTCCTGTTCAGTGGTCAATACAAATGTGATTTCCTCCCCCATTCTGCAGCATTTCACCAACCAGAGGGAAGAATTCGAGGGTACCAGGGAGAGCATTCTGGTTTGGCTCACAGAGATGGACCTGCAGCTGACCAATGTGGAGCACTTCTCAGAGAGCGATGCTGATGACAAGATGCGCCAGCTGAATGTGAGGGCCGCTTTCTTAGCGCTTCTGAAAAGAACTCACGCTGGCGGGGTGGGGGGAGCTGGCCAAGTGCAGATTTCACCCAATACTCTGAGAGCAGACTTCAGGCTACTTCCCACCTGTGTACTAGTCAATTATCCCGTGCCAGGACACTGTTCTCTACGGCCCAGGAGTATCTGTGTCACCAGCGGGGCCAAGAACAGAGATCCACTCTCCCATTGTTTCTGATGTCTGTATGACAGGCTCATGTCACTGTAATTCTCTCCTTGGCTAGATTTTGGAAGAGGTTGAGAAATGGAAATTTGCCTTCCCTCGTATAATGGCACCAATGAATATTATTGTGTCAGCAAAAACAAATGCCTTTGTGGCTTATTATGGGAAATGTTCTGTTTCCACCAAGTTTTGTTTTGGCAAGTTCTTTCTCTCACATCCAATAACAGTAAATGTCCACCCGTGTCAAACCTTCAGAATTACTTTAATTGGAAAAGCTAGTGCCCATAAAGAGGGGAATACAGACAATCATTTTAAATTTTATTTATTTATTTGTTTATTTTTTTGAGACGGAGTTTCGCTTTTGTTGCCCAAGCTGGAGTGCAATGGTGCGATCTTGGTTCACTGCAACCTCTTCCTCCCGGGTTCAAGGGATTTCCCTGCCTCAGCCTCCCCAGTAGCTGGGATTACAGGCGTGCACCACCACGCCCAGCTAATTTTTGTATTTTTAGTAGAGACAGGATTTTACCATGTCGACCAGGGTGGTCTTGATATCTTGATCTCATGACCCACCCACCTCGGCCTACCAAAGTGCTGGGATTACGGGCATGAGCCACCCCGCCCTCCTGGCCAATCATTTAAAATTCTTTTTTTTTTTTGGGGACAGAGTTTCGCTCTTGTTACCCAGGCTGGAGTGCAATGGCGCGATCTCGGCTCACCGCAACCTCCGCCTCCTGGATTCAGGCAATTCTCCTGCCTCAGCTTCCTGAGTAGCTGGGATTACAGGCATGCGCCACCATGCCCAGCTAATTTTTTGTATTTTTAGTAGAGACGGGGTTTCACCGTGTTGACCAGGATGGTCTCGATCTCTTGACCTCGTGATCCACCCGCCTCGGCCTCCCAAAGTGCTGGATTACAGGCTTGAGCCACCACGCCCGGCCCCATTTAAAATTCTTAAGGTGTCATTGTCACTTAATTAAAAACTAAAGCTAGAGTAGTATGTGAAGGAACAAAACAATAGTGACATTTGGGTGTTTTTTTCTGTGGCCCCTTTAGAGGAAACAGGCTCTGGAAGCCCGGGGGAACTTTCTTTGAAGTCCTTTCTTTCCCCTCTCTCAACAGGGCTTCCAACAGGAGATTACATTAAATACCAACAAAATTGATCAGCTCATTGTGTTTGGGGAGCAGCTGATTCAGAAGAGCGAGCCCCTGGATGCCGTGCTGATCGAGGATGAGCTGGAGGAGCTCCACCGCTACTGCCAGGAGGTGTTTGGAAGGGTCTCCCGGTTCCACCGGCGGCTCACCTCCCGCGCTCCGGTATGGGCACTGCCACCTAGAAAGGGTGCCTGGGCTGCTCAGTTTACGTGAGATAAAATTTTTAAAAAGTTAGACTATCTTATCACAGTGAACTATGTTTTGTATTTTGGTTTAAAAAAAAAAAGACTATATTGAAAAATTTTAATTTCCACTTTTATTACTATAGAGCCACAATAACTTACAGGTTCCCGTTCCCCGGTGGAAAGCATGGCACTTTTGAGGCACATGCTCCTCTAGTCTGTTTTAAGTATTCCTCCAGACTGGGCTTGTCTGGCATGTGTCTCTTCCCCTAGAACTCCTGAAGAACTCTTCTGGCTTTTATTACGTTAGCAACTTGGGAATTTATTTGCCCTTCCCTTGTTCTTAGAGGCTGGCAGCTTTTAGTATTTATGCTTTTCTGATGCTTTGTTCTCACCTTGGAAGAGTCAGCACAACAGTTTCAAAAGCAACTTTGATGTTTCCCTGGATGAAAGGCCTTTTTCTTTGGGAAGTTCAGGTGGAGTTAAGGCCACCATTGAAAGTTTACGGCCTTTGTGTGCCTGAAGCTTGAATGATGACTGTTGACCAACACAACTGACCACTCTCTCTTTTTGTCTTTCCCACTGGCCACATTCAAATGTAGTTATTTCATCAGACATGGCCTCAAAAATTACCCTACAATTCTCATTTTTAAGTACAGCCACTTAAAGTCTTTTTTTTTTTTTTTGAGACAGAGTTTCGCTTCCCAGGCTGGAGCGCAATGGCGCGATCTCGGCTCACCACAACCTCCGCCTGCTGGGTTCAGGCAATTCTCCTGCCTCAGCCTCCTGAGTAGTTGGGACTACTGGCACGCGCCACCATGCCCAGCTAATTTTTTTGTAGTTTTAGTAGAGACGGGGTTTCACCATGTTGACCAGGATAGTCTTGATCTCTTGACCTCGTGATCCACCCGCCTCGGCCTCCCAAAGTGCTGGGATTACAGGCATGAGCCACCACGCCTGGCCAAAGTCATTTTTCTTAGACTGAAAGAGATGTCCTGACACAAGCAGAATACAGACACTGAACAATTAAGTTGGAGGACAAGAAAGAACCTGATGGATACAGTTCTTGAAGTCATGAGTCTTATCCAGAACATTCAAATGCCCCTTTCAAAAATACTCTGATTCTTGGAGGAACCTGACATTAACCATCAATGAAACTTTGGCAGGCATGCCCTTATCTCTTAAAGTTGTTTAACTTACATTATCAAACTTCAGCTTTTTTTTCCTAAGGAAAAAAGCTGGAGGTTTTGGAAAATACGGATTCTAGGCCCCAGTCCAGATTGTCTAAACTGGAATAACCAGAAACAGGACCTGGGAACCTGATCTTTTAAAGCTGCCTTAGAAATGCTATTGGCGGTTATTTTTGGAAACTGCTGGACAAGCAGACTTCTCATGCTCTTCTAATTGCGTAGCCTGTGAGTTGATTAATTCTAACAACTGGATACTCTGGTTTAGGGCTTGGAAGATGAAAAGGAGGCCTCTGAGAATGAAACAGACATGGAAGACCCCAGAGAGATCCAGACTGATTCTTGGCGTAAAAGGGGGGAGAGCGAGGAACCCTCATCTCCTCAGTCCCTGTGTCATCTAGTGCCCCCGGCCCCGGGCCACGAGCGGTCAGGCTGTGAAACCCCTGTCAGCGTGGACTCCATCCCCCTGGAGTGGGACCACACAGGCGACGTGGGGGGCTCCTCCTCTCATGAAGAGGACGAAGAGGGTCCATACTACAGCGCACTGTCAGGTAACAGCTGGGTTCCCAGCGCCCTGGAAAGTGACCTGTTTGGCTGTTTTTAGCCCCTTAGCAACATGGCCAGCTCTTGATGACCAAGAGTCCAGCTTGTGGCCGACCCCGACTTCTGTGGCTTCTTGTGTTCTATCCTGCCCATCTCTTAACTTATCTGAGAATTGGCTCACTCTCATTACAGGTGGAATGAAAGGGGAAAAAAAAAATTCACATTCAGACATTAAGGCTATTCAGTGATGACTCTGGCTGTCTGGGAGACTCATCAGTGATTTTTTTTCTTTTTTTTAAGACAGGGTCTCACACTGTCACCCAAGCTGAGTGCAGTGATGTAATCACGGCTCATTGCAGCCTCAACCACCAGCGCTCAAGCAATCCTCCCACCTCAGTCTCCCGAGTAGCTGGGACTATAGGTACACGCCACCACACTCAGCTAGTTTTTAAATTTTTTATAGAGACAAGGTCTTGCTATGTTGCCAAAGCTGGTCTTGAACCCCTGGGCTTAAGAAGTCCTCCCACCTCAGCCTCCCACAGTGCTGAGATTGCAAGCATGAGCCACCATGCCCAGCCTCCCTTTCAGTTGAGTGTAGAGTATCAGTAGATTGAGCTTCTCCCTTGTTTTGATACCTATTGTCCTGCTTTGGACAGTCGAGCTGGCTGGGGGGAAAAATCCTTCTGGATTTCAAAATCCTTTTAATTTAAAAAATAAAGGTGAGTTTTCTCCTCCCAGCTGACAGTGTTACTACTGTGTGTTAATATTTAGGTATTAATCTTCAGGCACCTCCAGTGAGGCAAATGACATTGTTCTTTTTCAGATGTAGAAATCCCTGAAAATCCTGAGGCATATCTTAAAATGACCACAAAAACTTTGAAAGCGTCTTCTGGTAGGCCCCCGCCCATGCATGTCTCAACATGGCAGCATCCTGTGGCACACACTGCATCCTCAGCCTCGCTCCCATGTCGTGTCTGCCTGTGCCTTCTGTGGACACCATGCGCCTCGGTCCTTGTGTCATGGTGTATTTACACTGCCGTACTCACCCATACCTGCGTGCTCCTTACAAAACCCCGTCTAAGCCAGAGCTGTCTCGACACCAACCCTCTCCTCCCTTCAGGCCTGTGCAGAGGGAATTTTTCATGGTGCCTTTTTTGATTTTTTTCTCCATCTAACTGAAGTCCTTTGGCATGGGCCAAGCTTTCTTCATGGTGGCTTGGTTTGGAACTATTTCCTTGCTTTACTGGGATCTCCTGGTGGAACGGGGTGGATGGGTGAGTGGGTAGGGGGTAAAGGTACTGATGATTTGCCATAGGAGGAAAAAGCCTTCCTGTCCTTGATTTTGCAGCTTTAATCTTCAACCTTTGCCCCATCCCCATCTGCCATGGTGGGTCGGGGAGAGCCCTGAGGAGCCCTTGGGTTCCCAAGACCATCTTGATGTTCACTGTTCCCCCTCACTCCTGAGAGGCCTTCTGCCCTCTTGGTCCCCAGACCCGGCCTTGCCGCTCAATGTTCCTACCACCTCGAGACCCTGGCTCCAAAATGCCACTCATCCCACAGCAAATCATGTTGGTCGTGCTCCATTGTGTACCCATGTAGTGAAGACACAATGTCGCTGAGTTGCATGACTCTCATCTCATTCTCTTCTGGGACATACTGACATTTTGCAAACATGCATGCTTTGCAAGGAAAGCTGCAGAACTCATTTTCATACTATAACCTGATGCCATGTCACCCATGACCTGTTCGTTTGGAGAGAATGAACTACCGCTTGCTGCCTTTCATTTCAGGTAAATCCATTTCGGATGGCCACTCATGGCATGTTCCCGACAGCCCTTCCTCTCCCAAGCATCACTACAAGCAAACGGAAGGTGATGGGAACGTTCCACCTGTTCCTGCCGAGTCCAGCACCGCTTATAACCCACCCTATGTAAGTCTTGACTCCACTGGGACTATAGCCTTTGTGTGTGAGTAATAGTTACATTTGCAAGAGAGATCTGGTGTGGACCGTGTGTGCTCACTCCCCACCCCCGGCATACTTTGGGATGGTTTTCTCATGGTTATGGTATCTCTGCTGAGCTGTCCGTACTTCATTAGAACCCTGGCAAAACCAATTAGACTTAGAGATAGGTTTCTGGCCAAAAACCATCTTAGTGTATGTTGGTGTGGTATAACAGTCATTATTACTGTCAAGTCAGGTGTCTGTGCAAATAGTGAGCAAGCAAGGTGCTGCCTTTCCTGAACTACTCTCTGAGCTCCCAAGCCTTTGTCTTTTTGTGGTTTGTTTTGTTTGAGATGGGGTCTCACTCTGTTTCCCAGGCTGGAGTGCAGTGACACGATCTCACCTCATTATAACCTCCGCTTCCTGGGTTCAAGTGATTTTCCTGCCTCAGCCTCCCAAGTAGCTGGGATTACAGTTGTGCACCACCATGCCTGGCTAATTTTTGTATTTTTAGTAGAGATGGGCTTTTACCATGTTGGCCAGGCTGGTCTTGAACTCCTGACCTCAAGTAATCCATCTGCCCCAGCCTCCCAAGGCACTGGGATTACAGGCATGCGCTACTGCATCCAGCCTTCAAGCTTTTACGTTAAACTTTTGACCATACATCCTATTCCAAAAGCCATAACTTCATATTCAGGTTTGATGGTGTGCTGCAGTGGACACGGATTTGATTCCTAGCCCTGCCAATCCATCGCCATTGTACTTTAGGCACTTCGACTGGCCTCTTTAAGCCTTTCTTACCTGAAGATAAAGCCATTTCACCTAATTGTTGTTAAGATTATTGTGTATAGGCCGGGTGTGGTGGCTCACACCTGTAATCCCAGCACTTTGGGAGACAGAGGTGGGCAGATCACGAGGTCAAGAGATCAAGACCATCCTGGCCTTGGTTTCACATGGTGAAACCCAGTCTCTACTAAAAATATAAAACTTAACTGAGTACAGTGGCTTGCACTTGTAGTCCCAGCTACTCCGAAGGCTGAGACAGGAGAATCTCTTGAACCCAGGAGGCAGAGGTTGCTGTGAGCCAAGATCACGCTACTGCACTCCAGCCGGGCAACAGAGTGAGACTCCGTCTCAAAAAAGAAAAAGATTATTGTGTATAAAGGTAAAAGAAGGTCCTTAGAAGTAATGATTGTAATCATTGCTCCTGTATTGGTCTGTGGTTTATAGCAACGGCTGTTTCTTCTTAGTTACATTTTCCTCAGCTGGCAGCTCCTGGGGGGACAACCTTGGGCAGCACCAAGAGATACTAAGGAGAGAATATGATTACATTATTGGAGAAGATTCTGCCTTTGCATTGCCAAATCCGAGCTAGTTGATGATGATCTGTCTGTGTCCAGTTCAGAAACTCTTCCTCTTCCTTAACTAGCAGGTGTCATTTTTAATCTGCCTCTCTGCAGTGCAGAATAAGAAGATAGGGGAAGGACAGCAGTCCCTAACCTCTGCCTGACATCCTTGGCTCATGTGGCTTGGCTATCCCTTTCTGTGATGATGCCTGTGTTCCTCACCTGGCCGCTTTCAAAAGTTCAACCCTTTGATTGTGGCTGAAACCAGACGTATCACCACAAATCTGAAGGGTTTTTAATTTTTTTCATTTTGCACAAATAGGCCATACAGACATAATCCAAAGAAAGCAGAGCTTTTCTAAAAGAGATACTTTTATTTTTGGAAAGGCTCAAGATAATACCCCAATTGGCTATGTGATAACAGAAGAGTCAATACGTGCAGTGAAAGATAAACACTTGATAACGAATGTCCCTGGGAGGCAGATTCATCCTGTGTGCATTTCTGATTATGTGATAATGATGCCAACCACCTCCACGGAGTGACGGGGTGGGGGAGCAGATAACTAAAATTCTGTATAACACTGTGAAAATGTAAAAGTGCTAACTAACACAGTAACAGTCTGGTAAGCTCAACAAATTGTTCTCATTTGTTTCACATGGTTCATTTGAGGGGTGTTTGGAAGCATGCAAATTAAAACAGACCTTTTTTTTTTTTTTTTTTTTTTTTTG